CCCCCAGTCCAACACAAAACTTACCTGAGGAAAGTAGCTTACGACAACAGTCTGAGAATCCGAAGAGAACAGCTAAGTGCAGAGGGAACATGTCATGGATCCCACGCCTGAAAGAATAAAAGATCAAAACATGATAGTACACAAGGCCAAGGCTACAAACAGAGTAGGAACAAAGTGATCTCCACCCCCACATAGGCACCCCCCCACATAAGCACACTGATTTAGAGACATGGTGGCACAGTGGTTAGAGTGCAGTATTGCAGGCTAATTCTGCTGACTGCCAGGGATTCAATCCTGACCGGCTCAAGGTTGACTCAGCCTTCCATCCTTCCGAGTCAGTAAAATGAGGACCCAAATTGTTAGGGGGCCATAGGCTGACTCTGTAAACCACTTAAAGAGGGCTGTAAAGCACTATGAAGCGCTATATAAGTCTAAGTGTTATTGCTATTTCTACTTTGCATACATCAATTCCAAACTACCATCATCCTCAACTATGTGGTGGTCTATTCCATTGTCAGTCGGCCACTGCTCTACTATAAAGTCCAATAATGACACATTTCAATTTGATTGTGGCTAACTAGCAGAGTACACATTTGGCTGAGCATTACTTTAAGGCGCCAATTGTAAGTGTTGTTTATTCTGTCCTGACAATTCTAACTGGTTAGGAGAGAAAAAAGTCAGAATTCTAGATCTATGACCTTAACATTAATTTGCATAAGTAATATGCCCTCACCTTGCAGTGTCAGCACCATTCGTCATCAAAGTACTAATTAGCAGCTCGTGGCCATATCTAGCAGCAACGTGGAGGGGGGTATTGCCATATTTGTCCGCACAGTCAATCTCACTGCCTGAGAAACAAACAGATTGCATCAATCTTTTTTCTCCAATTTGCTCAGAGGCAAAAGGCAACTCCACTTTAGCCACCAGGAGATCAGAAGGTACCATATAGAACAGGGATCACCAATTAATTTTCCCAAGGGGCTACATGAGGAACTGGAACTGTTGTGGAGGGCTGCCATCCCGTCGCTGCCCCTGCCCCGCTGCCCTGCCCAAGGCTGCCAATACCTCACTCCCCACCCCCACTGTCTGGACTGGGACCACCCATGGCTGGATGTGGTCCACAGGCCATAAAAATGCCCAGGTCTAATACAAAACTACTCACTGAATCGTAAGAATTGGAAGTGATTATACAAGTCACCTAATCTGACCCACTGTTCAGTGCAGAGAATGAATGTTTAATAACTTTAGATACATGTCCCCTTATGCCTAACTTTCAGAACAATAAAGGGAAATTAATTTGGGGGGAAATCAGAACTGCTGTGATTCAAAATGACAAAAAAATACTGAAAGTAAGAGATATAAATAAGTTCGAATACCTGCAGGGACTGGCAACATTTTTAGGCTATGAATGTCAACAAATAAATAACTGAAATACATGATCTGGCAGTCTTGTTAAGATCTCAGGCTGAGAAAACAATGCTGTAAACTATTAAGAGTGGTTTCCTTAACTGGAAATAGCTGACAACTTACCATTTTGTATGAGAATCTGAGAGCGTGTAAACCGTCCATGAATGGCGGCCATGTGCAAAGGACTCTTCCCTTCTTTACTCTGCAAAGATGAAAGCTAGTCAGCCTATTTGCTTTTAATCCTATCCCACCGTCCTCAGAAAGCTTAAGTCATTTTCATTTTCCCCCTGTGGCTCTATTGCACGCAGCCCAGGTGGCCGTACCTGAAAGTTCACATCGGCTCCATTATTGACAAGAAGTTCCAGGCACAGGGCTCCGTTGGTGGAGACGGCAGCAAAGTGCAGGGGGGTAAAGCCCTTTTCATTGGGCTGATTGACATTGGCGCCATAGTTGACCAGTTCATTCGCCACGGCATCCTGGCCCATGTAACAGGCAATGTGAAGTGCAGTGTTGCCAAAGGAATTTGGTTCATCGATCTGTAAGAAAAAACATGGGAAGGTGACATTTGAATAGGCTGACATTTCGTGTTGTGCACAAGGTTTGGCCAGAAAGGGAAAAGTTCATATGCTGTTGCTGTCTGACAGCCCAACCAGTTATACTCAAGCTCGGCTTCTCTCCAAGAAATGCTGTACTTCTTTACTTTACCATTACAGGTAGTCCTCGACTTACAACAGTTCATTTAGTGACCATTCAAAGTTACAACCGGACTGGAAAAAAAGTGATTTATGACCATTTCCACACTTATGACCGTTGAAGCGTCCTCCTGGTCACGTGATCAAAATTCAGCTGCTTGGCCACCGACTCATATTTATGACGATTGCAGTGTCCCGGGGTCATGTGATCCCCTTTTGCAACCTTCTGACAAGCAAAGTCAATGGGGATGCCAGATTCAATTAATAACTGTGTTACTAACCTAATAACTGCAGTGATTCACTTAACAACTGTGGCAAGAAGGGTCATAAAATGAGGCAAAACTCACTTAATAACTGTCTTGCTTAGCAACAAAAATTTTGGGCTTAATTGTGGTCTTAAGTCAAGTATTACTGTATATGAGATAGACTCATTACATGCAAAGCAAGATAGTTCAAGCCGTGATGTGTCATTAGTGAGATGATTATGGCTTACAGCTCATGAAAACCCCAAATCCACAATCTTAGAAAATTAGAATATTACATGCAATCAATAAAACAAGGATTGTACATAGAACAATATCGGACCTCTGAAAAGTATAATCATGCATATGTACTCAGTACTTGGTTTGGGCCCCTTTTGCAGCAATTACTGCCTCAATGCGGCGTCTCATGGAAGCTATCAGCCTGTGGCACTGCTGAGGTGTTATGGAAGACCAGGATGCTTCAATAGTGGCCTTCAGCTCTTCTGCATTGTTCGGTCTCATGTCTCTCATCTTTGGCAATGCCCCATAGATTCTCTATGGGGTTCAAGTCAGGCGAGTTTGCTGGCCAATCAAGCACAGTAATCCCACGGTCATTGAACCAGGTTTTGGTGCTTTTGGCAGTGTGGGCAGGTGCCAAGTCCTGCTGGAAAAGTCAGCATCCCCATAAAGTTCGTCTGTGGAAGGAAGCATGAAGTGCTCCAAAATCTCCTGGTAGACGGCTGCGTTGACCNCCCTCTGGAACGAGCTGCCCCCAGAGATCCGGGTGATCCCGGATCTCCCCTCCTTCCGCCGCGCCCTTAAGACCTGGTTATTTCAGCAGGCAGGACTGGCCTAGGGGTATTTTAAAGGGGTTTTAAATTAAATTTTTAGTAGAAGCGGCCAAATTTAAATAGTTATTTTTAATCTTTTTAAATTTTGTATTGTATTATAACATTGTTTTAAACTGGCTGTAAGCCGCCCTGAGTCCTCCGGGAGAAGGGCGGGGTATAAATTTAATAAAATCTAAATCTAAATCTAAATCAATTCCAAACTACCATCATCCTCAACTATGTGGTGGTCTATTCCATTGTCAGTCGGCCACTGCTCTACTATAAAGTCCAATAATGACACATTTCAATTTGGTTGTGGCTAACTAGCAGAGTACACATTTGGCTGAGCATTACTTTAAGCCAATTGTAAGTGTTGTTTATTCTGTCCTGACAATTCTAATTGGTTAGGAGAGAAAAAAGTCAGAATTCTAGATCTATGACCTTAACATTAATTTGCATAAGAAATATGCCCTCACCTTGCAGTGTCAGCACCATTCGTCATCAAAGTACTAATTAGCAGCTCGTGGCCATATCTAGCAGCAACGTGGAGGGGGGTATTGCCATATTTGTCCGCACAGTCAATCTCACTGCCTGAGAAACAAACAGATTGCATCAATCTTTTTTCTCCAATTTGCTCAGAGGCAAAAGGCAACTCCACTTTAGCCACCAGGAGATCAGAAGGTACCATATAGAACAGGGATCGCCAATTAATTTTTCCAAGGGGCTCCATGAGAAACTGGAACTGTTGTGGAGGGCTGCCATCCCGTCGCTGCCCCTGCCCCGCTGCCCTGCCCAAGGCTGCCAATACCTCACTCCCCACCCCCACTGTCTGGACTGGGACCACCCATGGCTGGATGTGGTCCACAGGCCATAAAAATGCCCAGGTCTGATACAAAACTACTCACTGAATCGTAAGAATTGGAAGTGATTATACAAGTCACCTAATCTGACCCACTGTTTCAGTGCAGAGAATGAATGTTTAATAACTTTAGATACATGTCCCCTTATGCCTAACTTTCAGAACAATAAAGGGAAATTAATTTGGGGGGAAATCAGAGCTGCTGTGATTCAAAATGACAAAAAAATACTGAAAGTAAGAGATATAAATAAGTTCAAATACCTGCAGGGACTGGCAACTTTTTTAGGCTATGAATGTCAACAAATAAATAACTGAAATACATGATCTGGCAGTCTTGTAAGATCTCAGGCTGAGAAAACAATGCTGTAAACTATTAAGAGTGGTTTCCTTAACTGGAAATAGCTGACAACTTACCATTTTGTATGAGAATCTGAGAGCGTGTAAACCGTCCATGAATGGCGGCCATGTGCAAAGGACTCTTCCCTTCTTTACTCTGCAAAGATGAAAGCTAGTCAGCCTATTTGCTTTTAATCCTATCCCACCGTCCTCAGAAAGCTTAAGTCATTTTCCTTTTCCCCCTGTGGCTCTATTGCACGCAGCCCAGGTGGCCGTACCTGAAAGTTCACATCGGCTCCATTATTGACAAGAAGTTCCAGGCACAGGGCTCCGTTGGTGGAGACGGCAGCAAAGTGCAGGGGGGTAAAGCCCTTTTCATTGGGCTGATTGACATTGGCGCCATAGTTGACCAGTTCATTCGCCACGGCATCCTGGCCCATGTAACAGGCAATGTGAAGTGCAGTGTTGCCAAAGGAATTTGGTTCATCGATCTGTAAGAAAAAACACGGGAAGGTGACATTTGAATAGGCGGACATTTCGTGTTGTGCACAAGGTTTGGCCAGAAAGGGAAAAGTTCATATGCTGTTGCTGTCTGACAGCCCAACCGGTTATACTCAAGCTCGGCTTCTCTCCAAGAAATGCTGTACTTCTTTACTTTACCATTACAGGTAGTCCTCGACTTACAACAGTTCATTTAGTGACCATTCAAAGTTACAACCGGACTGAAAAAAAAGTGATTTATGACCATTTCCACACTTATGACCGTTGAAGCGTCCCCCTGGTCACATGATCAAAATTCAGATGCTTGGCCACCGACTCATATTTATGACGGTTGCAGTGTCCCGGGGTCATGTGATCCCCTTTTGCAACCTTCTGACAAGCAAAGTCAATGGGGATGCCAGATTCAATTAATAACTGTGTTACTAACCTAATAATTGCAGTGATTCACTTAACAACTGTGGCAAGAAGGGTCATAAAATGAGGCAAAACTCACTTAATAACTGTCTTGCTTAGCAACAAAAATTTTGGGCTTAATTGTGGTCTTAAGTCAAGTATTACTGTATATGAGATAGACTCATTACATGCAAAGCAAGATAGTTCAAGCCGTGATGTGTCATTAGTGAGATGATTATGGCTTACAGCTCATGAAAACCCCAAATCCACAATCTTAAAAAATTAGAATATTACATGCAATCAATAAAACAAGGATTGTACATAGAACAATATCGGACCTCTGAAAAGTATAATCATGCATATGTACTCAGTACTTGGTTTGGGCCCCTTTTGCAGCAATTACTGCCTCAATGCGGCGTCTCATGGAAGCTATCAGCCTGTGGCACTGCTGAGGTGTTATGGAAGACCAGGATGCTTCAATAGTGGCCTTCAGCTCTTCTGCATTGTTCGGTCTCATGTCTCTATGGGGTTCAAGTCAGGCGAGTTTGCTGGCCAATCAAGCACAGTAATCCCACGGTCATTGAACCAGGTTTTGGTGCTTTTGGCAGTGTGGGCAGGTGCCAAGTCCTGCTGGAAAAGTCAGCATCCCCATAAAGTTCGTCTGTGGAAGGAAGCATGAAGTGCTCCAAAATCTCCTGGTAGACGGCTGCGTTGACCNTTTTTCGAGTTTCACCTGTATTAGGTTCACCTTTTAAGTTGCATTACTGAAATAAATGAACTTTTGCACGATATTCTACTTTTTCGAGTTTCACCTGTAGTTCATTTATAGTACTGATTACACTTCATACTCAAAAGAAAGCCCAATTCATTTCAGGCATTTACTCAAAAGAAAGACTATAGAGAACTGAACACTTGAAACCATCCATAACAGCCTTCTTGCAATAGCTTTCTGGAAATATAGATTTATCAGGCCCCATAGTTTCTAGCCAAAAATAACTTTAATAATACATATTAGAGAAGAAATCAGGGGCGGGTCTCTGCCTTTCTTGCCAGGTGGAAGGATCTTCCAAATATGTTCTTCAGGTCACATGGCGTAGGGACAATCGTTCCTCACTACAAAGTTAATTTAACTAAAGCAGTCTCTGCTTGGTTTATAGCAAACAGCTTTAGCATTTGGGGATGCCTGGATCAAATGAGGTCACTGACAAGGAAAGCAATGCACAGCTGACATCTTGGTTCCAGGATCCATCTGCTATCATGTTCATTCACTTCAGGGATGATACAGCATTTTCACTGAATGTAGTAAAATCTTCATTTGGAAGTTTCTCTGATCCATTGATTTTCGATTCAATCTGGGCTTTCACTTTGGGGAAGCCTTTCTTGAGAAGGTCTGCTTTTTATAGCTCAGTGATGGCAAACCTTTTATAGACCGAGTGCCCAAACTGCAACCCAAAACCCATTTATGCATCGTCGGGTGCCGGGTGGGTGTGGCCATTGGGTGGGCGTGGCTGCGGTGGTAACGGCAGACTGGGTGGGACTAAAAAGTTCAATCAATCAATTCCAACTTTGCAAGATCTTTTTTTTCCCCCGCAAGTTGAAATTGACTGATTGATTGAACCTTCTTTTTTTTTTGTACACGGCGGCGGAGGCCTAAAGCGAAAAGGTTTTATAAAACCCAGCTGAAGGGCTCTGAGTGTCGCCTCTGGCACCCGTGCCATAGGTTCGCCACCACTGTTATAGCTAGTCAGAAAGCTACCCCCGAGAGCAGAGTGGATGGTACCTGATGTGGTAGTTATTATTTACTTATTTACTTTTATTTATGTGCCGTTCCTCTGCTAAAGACTCTGCAAGAATGTAACTGATGCTTGATGTGGTGCCACTCGTGTTGAATGTAATATAGTCCGTCCTAAATATGATTCACTCTCTGAAGAAGACGGGTGGTCCAGAAATGCGAAATATAATTAAATAAATATAAATGACTTGCTGGATTTCCTTCCACTTCAAGAATAATATGGTGGAATTATATGAAGGTTGGAATTATATTAATGCATTTCCACTGCTCACTGACGTCCAGGAGCTAACAAGCTAGGAAGATTTGATTACAGTTCAGGTAGTTGAGTTACAAATTATGCAAGCTTCGTTAAGTTAGTGACTTCAATATGTTCATGCCAGATAGCGCATGCCCTTTCCATTCTGCAAATGAAGCCCTGATTAAAAAAACAGGTGTATTCTGCCATAAAGAACTAAAACTCCTCTGGGCACTTTATGGTGGTGTTCTTAGCTGCGGGTACATGATGGTGTTGAATACAGTTGTCCATGTCACCTTACGACAGTACATAACCCATTAAACATGGTTTCAAAAACTACATACACTTATCTTCTCCCAACCTGTAGCTGACCAAATCTTTTCAAAACTATCCAGAATATGGTCAAAAGTTCTCTGTCCTGGAATTTTTTACACTTTCACAGAAGTTGGCTTGGAGTGATGGACCGGCTGCATCACAAGGCATTCTACTCTTCAACTACTCCATTTTTAACTGATGACCGCACCCATTTTCTTCTCTTGCCAGCTCCAATCTTTCCAATTATTCCTCCAGTTTCATTAAAAAACAAACAAACCAATAATTCCTCCTTCTTCAGTTCTACCTTATTGTCTGTTCCCTTTGGAATTCATTCTCTTTAACCAGAGCTCAATTTCCAATTTCTTTACTTCAAGTGGTACAGCAACTGGTTTGTAGAGCCATAGCAGTGTGACTGGATTTTCTGCCCAGGCTTTAGGCACAGCAGTCTTGGAGTTCAATATATTTGTCTTTGAGACATCTTCTATTGTTGGGATAGGCCAAGTTGTCTCTCTACTTCTCAAAAGCTTGCAGGAAAGCTCTCCCTGTTAACACAAACTCAGCTATCCTGCTGAACTCAGATGACTGAGTTCCACAGGGTGGAAGGTGGAAAACCCTAAAAGTTTCTCTCAGAAGCCCATAGTTAAAATCCCAGCCTTGCTTCTTGCTTTGAAACAGCAGCTTGGCAGTCCTGCTGCAATCTTGCTGCCGCTTGGGTGGTAAAACTGGTCAGTCTCTCACACCCTATCCCAGGGCTTTTCAACCAGTGGTACGGGTACCACCTGTGGTACATTGGCACCTGGCAGGTGATACGCGACCATCCTAGAAAAGTGGTAGCGGGGGAGGGGAATGAGCTGAACCGGTGGCAGCACCGCACAAGCCTGAGCGAGAGACGGCTGGAGCTGCAGGGCTGTCAGGGCTCAGCGGAAGCGCCAGGATCAGCGCCAGGCTCCAGCTGGAGCTCGGCGCTGATCCTGGTGCTTCTGCTGAACCCTGAAGAAGCACAAATCATGCTGGAAAGCAGCACTGATCCTGGTGCTTCCGCTGAGCCCAGAAGAAGTGCCGATCAGCTGGAATGTTGCAGCATCTCCAGGGTCTTGTGATTTACATTCAGATGCTTGGCAACTGATTCATATTTATGACGGTCATAGTGTCCCAGGGTCATGTGAAGTGACCAAAACCTGCTGCAACCACCCAGCAGACGGGAATAAAAACCAAACACCCCCCCACCCCACCTCCGCTGCCAATCCTCAACAGAAATGCTCACAACAATGAAAACCTTGGACAGGAGGAAGAGCGCCGCCGGGTGGGCAGGCAGGTGTCTTGCTCGGCTGTGGCTTGGGGGGCACTTTTTTCAGTGCCATTGTAACTTCAAACAGTCACTAAGACTAAGCGAACTGTTGTAAGTCGAGGACTACCTGTACTTTATCGCTTTTTTCCTTTTTTTTTTTGGTCATCAGGTTTTTGACACCTTGCTAGGCGACTGGTGGTACTCGGATATTGCCATATCCTAAAAGTGGTACAATGGGTGAAAAGGTTGAAAAGCCCTGCCCTATCCTACCTTTATGACAATTAAAAGGTCACAATGCAAAGTGAAATAATTTACATGGTACTGATTCCTGACCAGGTAGCATATAGACAAGGAGATTAGCAAGTTCAATCTTTCTTTCCCTCCTTTTGGAAAATAAGTTGTTAAGATAAGGCTATCTTATCTTGGCAATCAGCCAACCAACTATTTTTTTTTTTTAAAAAATAAAATGTTAAAGTTATGACAAAGAAAATAAATTACAGAACTGTCCGCATCACGATTTACAAGAAAATACAATGGTCCAGACAGAGTACGAGATGGCTCTGTTGAGCTACAAACTGAGAGCTCTTTATCCAAGCAAAGGCAAGAGATGTTTCATAGCATTCCTCTTTTTATTCTGATTACAAGGGGATCTTAAAGGGGAAAAAAATCTTCTTGAACATAGTCTGAAGAATGAATAGATGCTATTACCCTTAGTTCTCTAACTTATGTAAAGTAATAAAGAGAAATGGTTATCACACAGAGATCAAGACTTAGCACAGTTTCCTGGCTAGATATATTATCTATTTCTATGGAAATAATAGGCCCCTTAACTTCCTGGAATTCTCCAGTTTCTTAAGGATTCAAAAATAATAATTCATAGGCTGCTAGGGGGGGGGGAAAACCCTGTTTCCAGTTGTTGCCCAGTTTCCCCCTTGTTTTTAAAAGAATCAAGTATTTTTTATCTCCATCAAAGGGAGGAACTGGGTAAAGACTCTGTATATAATCAAGAGCCATTAATGACTAATGGCTAATCCTGCAACTTACATTATCATTAATGCCATTAAAAACAATACCTGTCTTAATCTTCTAGCTTCAGCTAATGTTTGATGTCCTTTGTTTAGAATCAAGTAAAATCCAGGTTCTTAGGAAGTTCCACGAATCCATGAGGTCTTGCTTCAATGTTATGTAATAGGATTATACTATAAAACTCCCTTGATTTGCATTACTGTATCTGGAAGGCTGTAATATTTATAAAATCTGTATACTGCATCTTAACTTAAGACTAAAATATTTATTCTTCGCAGCTGCTCTCAAGTTTTAAACACTACAGGTAGTCCTTGGGTAACAATGGCATTTGGGTCTGGAATTGCTTTTGCTAGGACAGTGGTGGCAAACCTATGGCACGGAGCAACGCAGCCAAGGACATGGCAGCCACGCAGCGTAGACAAGACTCTACCCTCACACCCCATCATGCAGTTGATGCTGCAGGGCGCGGGCAGAGGGTGTGGCCGCCATAGCGCTGCTGGGCTGCCTGGGCGATCTGCGGCGGGCCCTGGAGGTGGTGAGTAGTCCTGTGGGTAGGCGGGGCGGGGGATGGAGGGACAGAGCGGGGGCGGGGCCAGTTTTGGGGCACTCGGTCTCTAAAAGGTTCGCCATCACTGTGCTAGGAGAGGCAGCTGTAAAACACAAAATAACATGACCAGGTCACCTAGTGACAGAGTCTGGGTTGCAATAGTCAAGCAAGAAGCTCCTGTGACTGCAACTTCCATATTCCTGCCACCTTCCTTATTGACTTTGTCCACGAAAGGCTAGCACAGAAGGCCAGAAATTGTGTTCACAGGACTATAGGGACAGTGTGACAATCAGAATTTCCAAGACACATCATAAATTCAGCAAGATGGCAAGTTTGAATGACCACTGAGCGTGCTGTAGTAACCCAAGGACTAGGGGTTGTTTAAAACAAGCAGCATACAAAATTGACTTAGGGACTTAATATAAACACACATATGTACCATTACAGCAAACCTAATTTGCCAGAAATTATATACGAGCACATCTGAAGGGAACAAGCCTGAAAAGAGGATAGGCACAGTACAGAGCAACCCAGCATCCACTAAAACCGGTACTATCATCACACTTGCCTCAACTCCAAGTCTCAGCAGGTGCTTCACAACTTCAATCTGGCCGCTGGCGGCTGCTGTATGCAACAGTGTGTAACCCTTTTTGTCTTTGCATGTGATGTCAGCTCCACGGGCTACCAGTAGCTTCAAGACTTCCAAATGCCCTAGGGGAAAAAAACAATGCAAAAGACTGAAACCATTCAAATGTTTTCATGCTATAGCAAATGGGTTTACAGTATTCTAGATAAGAAAAGAGTCTGAAAGGATTATTCAAATCTTATGAATAAATGAACATATAATGATTTTTGCAAGATTAGGGCGTTTATTTTATCATGATAGATTGTAGGTAAAAGGGATTTTTTTCCCCATTCATCTTACTATGTGGAGCATGATGCAGAATGCAACAGAAGCAAATTTTGAATGCCAAGATCATTATTATAAAATTTATTCAAGCAGGATAGAAGAGGAGAATATGAGTAGTGTGCAGGCTTGTAACTTCTCTTTCCCTTCTCAGTAAGTTTCTGCTTTAACATGAATTCCTGCTATCCTGTTAATCATGGTGCAACGTTAAATGAGAGCCAATAATACTTGGGGTTAAAACCTAATTAGTTTTAATGGCAACAATAGGAATTCAAATTATTTAATTGGAGGAGGGAGACAGATCCCCCAAAAGAGTAGCAACATGTTTTCCAGCAGCTCAATGCCCCTCTTTTGACCAAGACAAAGGTTTAAGCCAGTGGTTCTCAACCTGTGGGTCGGGACCCCATTTGGGGTCGATCGACCATTTCACGGGGGTCGCCAAGCAAGGCTGTCCGCCATTTTTTTTGTCCGCCATTTTTTTCCCCTTTTCCGGCGGGTGCCTTACCTCCCTTGGGCTGGGCCAGCTGGTGGTCGGCCTGCTCCGTCTCTGCCTCTTGCCAGCTACGCCTCGGCCGGCGCAGGGGGCGGAACCACGCATGTGCGGCACTCCTGGGCAGGGAAAGTCCTTGACTTATGACGGGTTGGGTAGTCCTCGACTTACGACTGGTTCAATCCTCGACTTACGACCGGTTTAGTCCTCAACTTACGACCGGTTTAGTCCTCGACTTACGACCAGTTGGGGTCGCGGCATTAAAAAGGTTGAGAACCACTGGTTTAAGCAGCATTAGCCTTTCTAGAAATAACATTACACTATGGTCCAACTTTAGCATCCTGCATTTAAGGTTGTAATTGCTGCCAAACATGCTTCAACAAAGTACTGAGTGAATGGTCTGAATACTTATGCCAATGTGATATTTCAGTTTTTTTTTCTTTTTTAATAAATTTACAGACATTTCTAAAATTCTGTTTTCACTTTCACTGAGTATAGAAAATGAATTTCAACAACTGTAGAATTAGGCTGCAGCATAACAAAATTGCCAAAAGTGGAGAGTCTGAACGCTTTCTGAATGCACAGTGCGTACAGCGTGTATGAGGAAATGCTTGTTAAGTTCATTGTTACTTTCCAAAAGTCAGTAGAGCTACTCCCACTCAGACTGAGTAACTGGAAAATGTAGTTTTCCAAAGGCCAAGTAGATTAATTTAGCTTCAGTTGGCTGCATTCATCATGCAAATTAGATTATGTCTATTGCACAAAGTACACACATCTGTTAAAGTCTTCACTGCTATTTTCTTGCTTTCTGACAATCAATTCCATCCAACCAAATACTGGTAGCTGAGAGTTCAAACAGGTGTGTCATGATCAAAAGTTTGTAAGTGTAACATGTAAGAAGTATTCTGGTTTACTCTCTTAAATTTTGACCTGAAAATCTGATGTTTTCTGCTCAAAACCCAGAAGCCATTGACATCCTCATATATGCAATAAATGCACAGCTGAAAAGAATATCCTTGTTCAAAAAATATTGTTTAAGAATCCACTTCATTGTGTACCCAGTTGAGTTTAAATCAGCTGAGTTTTAAAAATGCATCTTTCTACTGGCCCCCAAGCTGCATTTTTAGTAACCAAAGCTGTGTACAAGATAACTAGACAATATGAATGTTTTGAATTAAGTTTTTGAAAGGTATCATATATGTAACAGGTAGGGAGAACCATGGCATATTTTCTACTAGGGATGTCTCTATAGTCCTAGCTATAATAAAGTAGTAAGAAAACGATGTAGAAGTAAATAAAGCAAAATTCTAGAAGAATGTCATGGGACATAAAGGGTGACAACATCAAGTAACACAAATTTCTGCAATACTTGACGGAAACTGTCTCTGGAAAGAGAGAGGGAGGTTTGTGATAGTATATCGATAGTATTTCTGTAGCTTATAGCAGGGGTCCCCAACCCCCGGTCCATGGACCTATACCGGGCCGCGGCATGCCAGCAACTGGTCCGCACAAACAAGCAAAGCCCTATCTGTGGGATGCAGGCAGCACACAAAACCACGCCCCTTCCGGGCCGCGGAAAAACCTCTCTCCACAGAACCGGTCCCTGGTGCCCAAAAGGTTGGGGACCTCTGCATATAGCATTTGCTACAGCAGTCACCTCTGGATGAGATGGGCGGCATACAAATCTAATAAATACCTTGCTAAACAGAGGTTTAATGCCACCTATTACTGCAGAGTGAAATAAGTTCACTATAATAGGAGATGGACAGGTATTACACACTATTTCCCATAAACATGTGCACATGAAGCAATGGTCCCAAGAGGGAGACATGCTCATGAGGGAAAGGTCCTTTAATTTGGTGCCCCACTTTCAATTTGTATGAAACTCCATGAGATGTGGAGTTTGCTTCCGTGACAATAAGCAATTACAATATGAAAGACAGCTTTGTTCCCTGACATTAAAAAAAAATGGCAACTTTTCCTGTCCCAATTTTTTGCTTTCCAGCTGAAGTATAAAAGAGATTACTGGGGAGTTAATGGATCCGAATAGCAGTTTAACAGCTGCTAATGTTATCTTAATGCCTCTGTGTATAATTAAATTCCATCTAACTGGAGGGGATTATGTAATTCATTGCTGATTGCTGATGAATGTGGCAAGAGTAATGAAATCAACAGGTGATAGGAATTAAAAGATGGATATGGTAAGCAGCAGATCTAGTAACAGCAGTAACAGCTTCCCTTACCTTAGTGTGACATTCTACACTTTGCTGAAAACAAAACAGATTCCTTTGAGGTAATTCTGTATCTGGTGCCAGATACAAAGTGGCAGTCAGTTACTTAATTAGGAGTATTGTTCTGATAAGAGGCACACTCACTGGGCTCCTGCCTATGTGGTTTTGCCTTGGAGCTCTGCTCCTAGCAATGTATCTCCCATTAACCTTTCATGGGAAGAGTTTTGCATACTACTAGCACATATGTGGGAGGAGGCTTGTGGCTTGTGGGGGTTCCAGAATCTTTGATTCTCTTACATTAGTACAACGGTCCCCAATCTTTCTGGCTCTGTGGACTGGTAGGGTGGTGGTGGTGGTGGTGGCGGCAATGGCAGTGTTGGGGAGAGGGGATAGTTCTGTGCGAGCAGTGGGCAAGCGTACTGACATGCGAAGCTTCATTTGTGCAACTGGTGGGCACCATTGTGCGACTGGAGCTTGATGCGCAAGAGTGTGTACCTGCCAGTAGCGCAAATGGAGCTTTGTGTACGAGCACACAGGCCTATCGCTTGCGCAAATGGAGTTTTGTGCGCGTGCCTGCTGCTTGTGTGGCCCAATTCCCAATGGTCCACAGGCCGGGACCAGGCCACGGCCCAGAGGTTGGGGACCCCTGCACTAGTGTTTATGGCATCTATGTGAAATCCCTGAGTGAAGTCATCTGTTAGTTTGAGTGAGGTACCATTAGTATGCATTAGATCAGAGGTTCCCAACCAGGGGTGCTCGCACCCCCTGGGGGTGCCCGACGATATTCCAGGGGGTGCGAAAAACTTGGGTTTTCAGAATTATAGTGTATATGCCATTATTTTGAACTTTTGTAAGGGGTGCAAGAATATATCAGAAGCGTTCTATGGGTGCAGGGTATAGAAAAGGTTGGGAGCCGCTGTATTAGATATATCCGTCCTCTTTGGCCAAACCAGAGAGGTAGTGTAAGTCTCGACCTAAGGAGATCTTGTTGGTCCAAAACCAACTTGTTCTCTGCCAGGTCCATTTCTGACTCTAGATGGAGTTGCGCTGCCCCCAAAGGAACAGAGCAACAACTTGGGGATTCTTATGGACTCACAAGCCTTTCCCAGCTTCAGCTGGTGTGCTAGTTGTGGTCCTCCATATGAGGAGGACAGGTGAGTTAGGAGGTGGCATTTTTCTACCGGTGCCAAGTTCCTTTGAAACAGCATCACTCCTGACATTCAGACAGCATCCTCCCATTTAAGAAGGCTGTCAGGATGGAAACATTTCATAGAGATTTTGACATTACCATTATTTACAGATTCTTGAGTGGTTTCTGGATTTCATTAATGTTGTTAATTAACTGTTTGAGGTAAAGCAATACTGTATATAAAAATGTTAATAAACAAAATGGGAGAGGGGAAATACCTCTATGCCAGTAGCAACTTACTACCCCTGGCTCACTCTTTTATTTACTATTAGGTATCCTTTGTTCTTACTGGGCAAATATCCTGGGTGTATGTTTTGATATATAGTTTCTCTGAAAGACCCGGATAGCAAATACATCAATCACAATAGAGGGGATGTGCAAAAAGGTGGAAGGGGGACTTACCTAGAAAGGCTGCCCAATGTATTGGTTGTCTCTCCTTCTTGTCACATGTGCTCAGATTGGCCCCTCTATTTAAGAGCAAGTTTACCATCTAGAAAGAAAATAGACACTTTTTGTAAAAAAATAAATATTCTAAAATAAAAACACAAGGCAACTGACATGGTACTTCCTCCCCCTGGGGATGCTATAGGTCACTTTATATATGTAAATGCAGGACCTGTGCTTCAAAAGGAAATGGAACAATGAGATCCAGACATGGATAATCTGAAAGTCCATTCTTAATATATAACAAAAACTTGCCTGCAAATCAGACGTTACCTATTTGTGTATTAAACTTTGCTATGGAAGACAAAATAGCCTATGGTTGTTGGATTATGTTATTATTCATATTAATTAATGAATCGTGCTTCAGTATGTTATTTGTATATTAGTTGTATTCTGATGTACATTCTGAAAAAACAGGTTCATATGCACCCAATGATTTTTTTCAAACTATGATAGGTATGTGTTCTTTAAACAAAAAGAAACTCAAATCCCCAAAGCTCTGATTCTCCAATAGTCTCACACCTACTATCTTAAAAGTCGAGGACAGAAAAAATATTTTACTGCTAAAAGAGCAAAGACTTCTATTCAGTTGTTACAGCATCCTAAAAGCCAAGGCTTCATTCACATCATATACAATATTTCCATGCAATAACCTCTCTTCATCTTTTCTTTCCTTCAAATCTACGCCCATGCTGGACTGGTCCAAAGGGCTTTGCCTTAACCAGAGCACCAATAAAGAAGAATATTTGTAGCTCAGGGTTGAAATGCAGGGTCTTTGATGCTCTCTGAGCTTGGATGTGTTTTTTTTTTTTTTTTTTTGCAGACATTTCTTTACTCCTAGCACTCATGATGTCACCTAGTTTGGGTAATGAAACGTCTGCAAGAAAACAACCAAGCTCAGAGAGCACCAAGGACTCCTCATTAACTATAGTAGCTGGAGATTCTGTTATGTGAGTTTGAGTGTAACTATTTGTTTATTTGGCTAACAAAAGACTCTGGGTGGCTTTTGCAAGGGGAAAGAGTCTTTAGAACAAAACAAATTTCCATTATTGCTCCATTATACCTCATCCCTACCCCATGGAGAAATCATGCATAAATGTCTCTGGAAGAACAAGGATGTCCCTTACCTCAAGGTACCCACTGTGTACAGCATGGTGCAGTGCTGTGCGGCCAGTGCGGTCTGCCACATTAACATTACTAAGCAGTGGGATGATGGTCTCAACACACTTGGTAGCTCTGTTGGCGGCAGCAACATGCAGTGGTGTTTGCCAATACTTGTCACGAGCATTGATGTCTGCCGAGTGCTTTAGGAGGAGGTTAAGTGCTTTCTGCCAGGGGAGAACATAAGGCAGTTTTAAAAGCCTGGATGGAGTATTATTACAAAAGACGTAAGCACTAACAAGTGAAGAGATAGTACTGTGTTATGAACAGGAGTTTAGTATAAAGTCTGCAAAACCTGAGAGAATAGAGAACGTAATACGGGAGGTACTGAGAAGAGATAAAATGCTACAGTTTAGAGTGATCTAGCAATCCCAAGAAAGGACAGTGAGCAACTTCATATAGGGTAATATAGTAGCACACTCAATTATATTAAGAGTACGTCTTCCTAAATTCTCAGATATCCTGAAATTTGGGCAGGTTCACAAAGAATAATTGGTACTGCAGTCCCACATTTGGAGGCATTGGTTATTAGCACGGTGAAACCCCAATTAATAAAATTTTCAGATTAAGTTACAGACAGCTAGGTTCATACTAAGTTAGTTAAATATCTTTGGCTTCCATTTGATTTATTTATTCAGTCCTCTCATTTATATAGTTGTCTGTCTCATGAACACGACTCTGGGCAGAGTACAATAAAAACAGACCATAAAAGATACAAACAGTAAAAATTATTTCATAGTAAAAAAAACATTATTATTAAACATTATTAAAAGACTAGGATGGAGCATCTTCAATGTTAAACACTGTGTAGGCATCTCATCAGTTCTCCATTCACCTGGGATCCCCAAGCCTGCTGACATAACGTTGTCTTGAGAGAACCTCAGAAGATTGGCAGAAATGGAGTCAATCTCACCTTAAGAGGAATGATCATCCACAGAGAAGGATGTAACTTAATAGATGGAATCTGCAAGTTACCTTTTGCAGGATGGATGGGACAGACACATGCAATTGGGAAGAGGCAGTCCCAATTAAAGGTAAAACCCTGCACTTTCAGTTGGATCCAGAAGCAAACTGGCATTCAATGCAGCTTGTCGAGCAGAGGTGTAATGTGAGCCAATCTAGGGGTACATATTGCTTGCACCACCACATTTTGTACCAACGGAATTCTTCAAGATAGCCCCATAAAAAGCTTATTGCAATAGTCCACCCAGGAGATAATCAAGGCAAGACTGACTATAAGAACCTCCAATCCAGGAACAGGTGCAACTGACACACAATACTTGAACAGGAGGACTTACATATTGCACAATGGGTCTGTTTGGGGAAGTGCAACCCCATCCAGTACCAAACATGGGAAAGTCCCAGAAATGGAAGGCCCCCAAACCCAAAGCCATTCAGTCTTACCACAGTTCAGCTAAAGTCTTACCACAGTTCAGCTAGTCATCGGTCCATCTGATGTCTCTAATTGTTTCATTCTTGAAAGGCATGTGCTTGCTGTTCCCTTGGTGGTTTTTAAAGCCGCAATTCCCTTATCCACTTTCTTTTCTCTGTGCACCCCCCGCTGTCCGTCATTGCACCACCAATTTCTAGGGCTGCTGTTCCCCCCCTCTCCTTCCTTTTGCCCATCGCTTTCTTCGTATGCATCCCATCATCCAGATTCGTTGTTCCTTCCTCCTCCTCTTTTTCGATCATTTCCCTCACCTGCCCACGGCTATCTGCTGTAATCTCAATGATTTTTAGGGTTGCTATCGCTAAAATATTATATATATATAAATATTATATATATATACAGACACACACATACATACATGCACACACACACACATCTTTTAGGGTATGGTTTTTAATCACAGTGATGCTGATATTTAAAGGAAGGTGGTTTGTTGTTGTTTTTAACTGTATAAGCCACATAGAGTTTGTGCTTGGGCAGTATATAAGCTGATACAACAAACAAATAAACCTTGTTCTTTCTACTTTCTTTACATTTCATATTTTGCCAATGTAGACACAAAACTTCCTCAGTAAACAAGAAGGCTCAGGAACGAGTCACTACAAGGCGATCACCATTATACTCCTGCCTCACGCTTTTGTCCCATGGGAAAATGTACTGCTAGTAATAGCCTGCAAGCCTTTTTGTGGTTCTTTCAACTCTGCCGTCCAAAAGGTGTTGCTACCCAACGTGTCCAAGGAGATAAAGACTGTTCTGCAAGATTCTCAAAATATTTACTACAACGAAGAATAAAAAGATAAAAGGGGAAATGAACTTGGCTTAGACATGGCAGTTTATTATGTTCGATGTCTGGAATTTACTTTGTCATTTTACTAGCAGCATGACTATGGCACCCTGTGAAAGACTTGACATTTACCTCATTACGAGAAGCTGCAGCACGGTGTAACGGGGTTAGCCAAAGAGTGTCCTTTGCATTGACGTTAGCACCTATCCAAAGAAAATAAAGGGGATGAAGCAAGTTGTCTCAAGCATGATTGATTAAGAGAAGAAAACAAAGATTACATTAAACTGGTTGAATAGCAAGGCATTCCTTAGACTTTCATCTTAACAATAAGACCATTTTTATTTTTTAATCCCAGTGCTAATTTAACAAACAGCTGTTTCCCAAGGAAACTGCCAACTAATTAATAAGAAAAGAACATTAGTACTGCACTTAGGAGGCATCCCTGTCTTTAAAAAAATAATGGTTGAAAATTAAAACAATTGTCGCATTACCGGCCAAACATTCTATGATCTATGTGTTAAATCAGCATCATTTATTTCAAAGATTTGGGGTTGGGGATTGTGAATCACATCTGAAAAAGATGTAATCCCCAGAATTAACTTCCATAGTTTCCCACACAATTCCTCTTGCAGAAATATTACAGAATAATAGAGTTGGAAGGGATCTTAGAGGTCTTCAAGTCCAACCCTTTGCTTCAGCAGGAGACTCTATACCAGGGGTGTCAAACTGCCGGCCCAAGGGCCGGACACTTCACAACAAAACCACACCCACCCCATTGTTGGCAATGGGAAAAAAGCTCCGATACGTCGTGCGACGTCACGAGTTTGACATCTCTGCTCTATACCATTCCAGACAAGTGGTTGTCCAGTCTCTTCTTAAAAGCCTCCAGTGATGGAGCATCTACAACTTCTGAAGGCAAGTCATTCCACTGGTTAATTGTTCTCACTGTTAGGAAATTTCTCTTACTTCAAGGTTGCTTCTCTCCTTGATTAGTTTCCATCCATTGCTTCTTGTCCTGCCTTCTGGTGCTTTGGAAAATAAGTTGACCTGCTCTTCTTTGTGGCAGCCCCTCAAATATTAGAACGCTGCTATCATGTCACCCCTAATCCTTCTTTTCACTTCTAGACAAACCCAATTCCAGCAACCGTTCTTCACATTTTAGCCTCCAGCCCCCTAATTATCTTTGTTGCTCAGAGTCTTGACATCAGTAAGCATCAGTAAGTAGAAACCAGCCTAATAAAGGGGCTGAAAGAATCAAAGCTCATTCCAATCTTCATGCAGATTTTTTTTTTTTAAAAAAAAGAGAAAAACGATGTGGCAATGTTGTTGGCAGTCTTCAAAGACTATCGCTTGCTTTAGGTTATATTGTAAGCCAGTGTTTTTTATGGCCGTTAATTTGGAAAGATTTAGCATGTGGATCAAAAACCATCTGTGTTGGCTCAGCTGTCCAGAAGGCTAATTCAGCCCTGCAACCTACACAGGAAGAGTTACAGTATTCAGAGCTGTCAAGTTTTTAAATAGCTTCACTGAACAGAAGGAGAACATTTCCATAAATCTCCACTGCTTGAGAATCATGACTAGCAATAAGAATATTACTAACAGCAATCTGCTACCCACAGCACTTTTAAGGTGGGAAGCACTATAATGCTTTATGAGCTCTCATTCATTCTTTGTGACCATCCAAGTCACATCCTTACCTGATAGTATTAGGAGTTCAACAATAGAGGTGTCCCCTAAGTATGCAGCTGCATGCAAAGGGGTTCGTCTCTCTTGGTCCTGATTTGGGGAAAGAAAATAATCAATATATATGTATAGATATATAAACATTCTATATTCTGCATAATCTAAGGATATTTATTTATTTACTAAATTTATATTCCACCCTTATTATCGAGAGTGACTCTGGGTGGTTAAAATCATATTGTGCTTAGATCTGCAATGCAGGTAGTCCTTGCCCTACAACCATTCATTTATAATGACAGCCCTGAAGAAAGTGACTTATAACCGGTCCTCACACTTACAACCATCACAGCAGCCGCATGGTCAAAATTTGGGCACTTGGCAACTGGCATGTATTTATGGCAGTGGTGGCATCCCAGGGTCACCTGATCATTGCTTGTGACCTTGCCAGGTGGCTTCCAACAGGCAACGTCAATGGGAAAAGCCACTTAACAAACATGCAATTCACTTAACAACCACTGTGACTCACTTAATGACTATGACAAAAAAGGTGAGTCTGCTACTCACTTAACAATTGCCTCACTTAGCAATGGAAATTCCAGTCCCAATTGTAGTCTTAAGTTGAGGACTGGCTGCACATTTCCGAAGTTTATATGGCAAGAGTCAAAAACAGTGACTAAACCCAATGGTGGATTTTACTTATTTGTAAGTAACCCTTGGCATGGCAATTGGGACCAGAGTTGCCATTGCTGTGGCCATAAAGCAGTTCCAACAGTCCATTGCCATCGTTCAATTTCCTGCTGACTTCCTTATTGATTTTGCTTATGGGAAGCCAGCATGGAATATTGGAAATCGCAATCATGTAACCGTGGGGATTCCAAGGAGTGGTTGTAAATCCCTTGTTCAGTGTGACTGTAAGTTTGAGCAGTTGGTGAATGAATGGCTGTAACCCTCAAGCTCCATTCTCGTGTTTAGAAGCCTCATCCCACAAATCATGTGGTTTGGGGGAAATGAAGCTTCTAAAACAGCGGTTCTCAACCTATGGGTCGCGACCCCATTTGGGGTCGATCGACCATTTCACGGGGGTTGCCAAGCAAGGCTGTCCGCCATTTTTTCCCCTTTTTCCGGCAGGTGCCTTACCTTCCTTGAGCTGGGCCAGCTGGTGGTCGGCCTGCTCCGTCTCTACCGCTTGCCAGCTACACCTCGGCCGGCACAGGGGGCGGAAACACGCATGCGCGGCGCTCCCGGGCAGGGAAAGTCCTCGACTTACGACCGGTTTAGTCCTCGACGTACGGCCGGTTTAGTCCTCGACTTACGACCAGTTGGGGGTCGCGGCATTAAAAAGGTTGAGAACCACTGTTCTAAAAGCTGGTGAGAATGGCACAAGGTGGCCTTGTTAAGAAGGCCTGGTGCAGCCAGTAGCTGCCTTGCGTACACTGGGCAAGCCTGTCAGCAGCTGGAGAAAAAAGGCAAAGGTAAGCGAGGCGCTGCATATTGTGTGGAGTGCAGGGCAGCGGAAGCAACTGGGGCTTTGCAGAATGGTGCCGGCATGGCAAGGCACAGGGTGGGGCTTGAGGCAGCATTTCTCAGTGACAGCAGTGGCCCTGGGGATGAAGAAGAAGCCTGGAGGTAGTGGCAGTTGTGAAACTGCTGAAGTCCCCGGGCCTCTAATTCAGCCCCAGCCCCGGCCCTGGCACTGCTGCTGTCACTGACTGCCAATATGCAGGGCAGCCAAAAGGGCATAGATTACAGGAGAGATAGGTGGGTGGAGCGCCCCTGCAGTTGTGTGTGCAGGTTGCCAAGTGCTCAAGTTTTGATCATGTGACCAGGGAGGATGGCCATAACTTTGGGTATGGGTACTAAGTCCATTTTTTCAGCATGGTCTTAATTTCAAATGGATGCTGAACGTATGATTGTAAGTCCAGGAATTACCTGTAAAGGAATTTTGTTAAATGCCTTTCAGAATAATTTTTGTCCAAAATATTGAAAGATGCTCCTAGAATCAAGCAAACACATATTTGGGAAGAGATGAGAAGCTGGACCAGCTTCCATTCAATTAATTATTGTGGATGTTTGGAAGATGCATTTGCCATGATGTATTTAAAAAAAAATCAAAAGCTTTAAATGTTTTTATTTAATTACTCAAATTCACTATTTAACTTCTTTTAATTCACACTTTCAGAAAGAAGTTTTTTCTTATGAGGGTATTAGCAAATTTAATGAAGTAGAAATTATGTTCACATATATCTCTCTATATATATCTGTGAAATATGTCCATTTCTTTAAAAAAAAGATTTAACATCTGATTTCAATTAAAGTTTAAAATCAATCTCATTTATATATATTTTTTTAAAAAAACATATTTTTATCCAACATGCCAGATACCAAGTAGCAAAAATATTAAACTTGTCTGCCTATACGCTGGCTGGCTCAGGAATTCTGGGAGTTGAAGTCCACGAGTCATAAAAGAGCCATGGTTGCCTACCCCTGGCCTATACAATAAGCATATCTTCCATAAATACACTCAGGTTATCTTTCAAAAGCCAGTAATATTTGATTAGATAATTAATTTGCCTCAAGTCAGGAATAATTGAGGATCCTTTGAGTGGACAGAACATAAAGTGAATTATACAACTTCAGTAACAAAATCTTAAGAAATCTTATAGAGGTAATCCTCGACTTACTACCACAACTGGGCCCCAAATTTCTGTTGCTAAGCAAGATGATTGTGAGGTGAATTTTGCCCCATTTTATGACCTTTCTTGCCACAGTTGTTAAGTGAATCGCTGCAGTTGTTAAGTTAGTAATACGACTGTCGTTAAGTGAATCTGGCTTCCCCACTGATTCTGCTTGTCAGAAGGTTGCAAAAGGCGATCATGTGACACCCCCCCAGGAACGACACCTATCATAAATACATGCCTGTTGCCAAGCACCTAAATTTTGACCACATGACCCATGGGGATGCTGCGAAGGTCCTAAGTGTGAAAAATGGTCGTGTCACTTTTTTTATAGTGCTGCTTTAATGATCAGCAGTCACTAAACGAGCGGTTGTAAGTTGAGAACTACCTGTGTGTCTACCCAGCTATTCTTGTTTTTCTCCAGTGATGACAGAAAGTACAAATTAATCCAACCGCCCTCACTATCTAATCATCATGGCCTCTTCTTTCAACCTACATGTGAAATTGGCCCTTTTGGGCTGCTTTTGAACCCGGTTATTCCTTTTAACTTAGCCAAGCTCAATGGTCTTAATTAGAAGGAAGGTATTTTGTCATGAATATGTAACTTTACCTTTTATTTGGACGTTTTCTTCCCGATTAATTTCAAGGAACAATTAACTACGACAAATGGAGTAAAGGTCTCAAGGTGTTTTCAAACCGTTCCTGCAATTTCTAGGGTTTCTTAACAATTACCAATGGCTCGTCAGTGAATAAAAACTCAGTAACTGCGGACATGTTTTTTTTTTTTGTGAAAGCCAATTAGTCTAGAACTACTGACATTTTTGCACAATCATAATTTAACATTAATTTTGTGTTTTATTCAAAGAAAATAAGAATGTCTAATGAGTGTTCAATCCTTGACATTAGTCAAATGTGTACTTTTAAATCCTTAGCAATACTGTGACATTCTGTCAAGGTGCCTGGATTATATATATACATTTCTCAGAAAGCAGAATAGTACACAGTATAAAATATGTATGCAAGTGTACTGATAGCAAGCTGGTTAATCTCAATTTGCTCTCTCCTACACTGGACAGAATTGGAAATCCAATTAAATATAAGGCAACTAACAGTGCAATCATAGATTGGCATATCCAAAGCATGGCAGTCTTGCCATTAAAATTTCTCAAATATTTGACTGTATCCATTTCTGTAACTTAGATTTTATCAGAAATATTGCAATAACTTATCATTAGATGCATACAACTTTACGTTACCATCACATATTCCCAACTATTTTTTATCCAGAAATATTTTGTCCGGACTATATTCTATCTACAGTCTGTACAAATATTGGCACTACACTATATGATGTAGAAAACAAACCTCGCCTCTTTTATGAAGTTTGAACATGAATGTTTTAAAAAGCTCTAAAAATTCTGATATTCAGAAAAAAATTACTTTTATTGCAATGTTGGAAAGAACATGGAGCAGTAGACAAGAAAACAACAAAAGCTCATATAACTCTCAAGGCCTAAATTCACCTGAATTAGAATATTTTCAGTGGGAAAATTTTAACTCTGGAAAACCTTAACAAGTGGCTGCTTATTAGCTGTCTGAAGTTGTGACAGACCCTCCAAAGGTAGTCCTTGACTTACAACCATTCGCTTAATGACTGTTAAAGTTACAAGGGCACTGAAAAAAATGACTTACAAGCAGTTTTCACAATTATGATCCCCACAGTCACATGATCAAACTTCAGGTGCTTGGCAATTGGTATGTATTCACAATGGCTGCAGTGTCCCAGGTCCTGGGTTGGTTGTCTGCAACCTTCCCAGTGAGCTTCTAACAAAGTCAACGGGGGCAAGCCAGATTTGCCTAACCACTACATGATTCACTTAATAGCTGTAGTCATTTGCTTAATAACCATGGCAGAAACAGTAAAATGGGGCACAACTCACTTAACAACTGCCTTGCTAAGCAATAGAAATGTTGGGCTCAGTTATGGTTGTAAATAGAGGACTATCCGTAATTGGCAGTTACTTTAGTAACTCTAGCTTTCATTATAGGTCATCCTCAATTTGCCACGGGTTATTTAAAGGCCATTCAAAATTACGACAGCTGGCAAGGGTGCTTTACCAACATAAAGCACTTCCGGCCATCTTAAAACATCACTGCATCCCCCCCCCCCAATTACTCCATGACCTCATTACAGATGCTTGGTAGCCAGATTGCCAACCAGAGTGACTGGTTGCCAAGTGCCCCACAACCATTTGCCATCTGACCACTTGCAATCTTCTCTGCAGGCTTCCCCAGAAAACTGGTTAGAAAGCAGTCAGGAAAGATTGCAAAGGAAGGGGCTGAAGGAGGGCTGAAGTCCTCCTGCAGGTTGCAGAAACCTCCGTTCCTTTAGGCCCAGAAAGGATTCCCGCTTTATGCATGGAGGGAAGGGGAAATCCTTTGGCAGGCTGCAGAAACAGAATTGAAATCTTCCCTGTGGGCTTTTGAGCCAAAATCCTTTGGTAGGCAGCTCTTTCACTCTGTCCACTTAACCACCCAGAAAATTTGCCGGGATTGTAGTTTTTGAATGAAGCAATCACGTGGCATCTTACTTAATTACTGCTTCACTCAGCAACCAATATTCTTGTCCCAACTGTGGTTGTAAGTCAAGGATTACCTGTGCTCCTAGAAGCAAATGCAACAAAGTTTTGAAAAGTCAACACCAATTAAAAGAATAATCTTGTTCAAAGTGAATGCAATACAGATGGATTTTGACAATCCAAATATCACTCTCTGGTTCTGAGATCAAATCAGCTCATAAGTAGCACAATTTGTGGCAAGATTTATATATTAAATAGGCATGAATTGTATTATGTGCCTCTGCTAAGTGAACTAGAATGGAATGAAAAGCCAAATACAGCTTCATGGGATGTACAAGAATAAAATTAAAAAAAAAACATACAACCCTAGCTGTTCTCACTTAGAGACCACAAGACTAATCCAGAACACGCTTCATGCCAAGCACAACTGCTAAATCCGGTGCCACCCACTGCTCAGTACAACTAGACCAATACATCTGGTACTATGCAGCCAATTCCCAACAAAGTAGCTATTTACCAATAATGAACAATCTCTGTGCTATGCACTAATTCTGAATATACAAAGTACTTTGCTATCCTTATCTATTTATAACTACAACCACCTTAGAATCATTTAATCATTATAATCATCTTACAAATCTGGAACCAATGCCAAGATATGAAAAACTGTTTGAAAAGGGCCCACTGAGAACCCAACCAAACCCTGACTCTCTGAGAAGCGGGAATGTCACATCTAATGACTGATCCTCATGGCAGAATACAAACATGACTCTACTGATCTACACATTATACATGTGGTGTTCAGGTGATAAAGAGGACACAAAATAGCCAGCTGGAAGGAAAGGCCAATTTTGGGAAACTATATGTATGCAAAGTCAAGAGAAACAAAATCAAGCAGAACTCTTTACCAGGAAAAAAGAGTTATTCCAACACTTACCAACACGTTGATATTCTCCTTCTGACTCAGTAATGACCGTACCTCCTCTATATCACGGTTAAAAATGGCTTGGACCAGAGGAGGCTACAAAAGATAGAAAACACTAAGATTAAGTTAAGAAAAAAAATCAACCATTAATAGCAGAAATCCACAAATCTGAACAAAGAATTGTACAAAATGCACTGTATCTTAGGTCCTTAGGCAGAAGGGGTGATGTGATTGAATAGTCAGCTTCAAATAGGAGGCACATTTGGACTTTTAAGATCACATCATGGCTGCTCACACAAAATAACCGGCATTCTGGATACACTCCTTACAACTGATTGTTTAAAGAGTTAGGATGGCCTCAGAAAGGGTGGTCTAGTCTGCAAAACACTTCCAGCCATCCTAAAATGTCAGACCCCCCACTCCGGTCACATGACCACACTTCAGGCACTTGGCCACCAGTTCACATTTATGACTAATTGCAGCATCCTGTGGTTACATTATTGGTTTCGGCAAAAGATACCTATTTGGGAGAATGGGTTCGCACTTACAACTCTGTGATTTGCAACTGCCATAGAGACAATTGTAAAATTGGGTCCAACCACATGGGTGCCTCAACTTATAGCCATTGTGACTTACAACCAAAATTCCACTTCCAAATGCACTTGTAAGTTGAGGAAGAACTGCACCAGAAAGCAAATGTGCTAGTTTTTTTCTGATCATCTCGGCATGTGCAGTGTGTAATCCTTTAGTCACACAATAACCCATACCACCATTTGATGAAGAGGGTAGGATAAACGAACTGATCATAGCTACCATATGTGCAAGTTCCTTTAAGGTGATGGGAGAAGAAGAGAAAACTACTGTAGACCTTCTTTGCCATTTTTCCACTATACATGCAAGAGTTCACAAATTTTGGCAATCCATTATTTGTGGCTACTATGTATTCTGTTCTTTTCTAATATCCTACCCGCGAAGAGTATAGAAGGAATAAATGTGTTGGGACCATGCAAAAACAATACAAAACCGATTTTACTGCAATAAAGGGCCTCCATCCTTTCTTCAAGCCAAAATATAAAAAGAGATAGAGAAAATGGAAGTTGTGTATCTTGCTGATCTTTGAAGCAGGCAGACTGTTTCTGCATAGACTTTCCTGAACTCTGTGCAACTTTGCCAAGGTCATGGGGTATAAGGTAGGATTTACATCTGTTGATCTGCATCATCAAGATCTGTAATGGTATGCCGGAATGAGGCTGGGAGACAGGAAGGAGAGCCACAGACTAGACAACCACATGTAAAAGCTGTCTCAGCCATAGAAGAGGGAATAGCATGAGAAACATTTCAAAAGAAACTCTTATTTAGTTTTCCAGAAGGTAAAAGGAAAGGAGAATTACTTTCATCAGTCTTGCAAGATCCTGTTAATGTAACCTTATAATAAAAATAGAACTAGTACTCCTGTCAGGTAGTCCTTGACTTATAACCATTCGTTTAGTGACCAATGTTACAACAGCACTGAAAAAAGTGACTTATGACCGTTTTTCATGCTTACGACCATTGCAGCATCCCCATGGTCACCTGATCAAAATCCAGACATTTGGCAACTGACTCAAATTTACGACGGTTGCAGTGTCCCAGGATCATGTGATCACCTTTTGTGACCTTCTGAAAAAGTAAAGTCAATGGGGAAGCCAGATTCATACAATAACCATGTTACTAACTTAACAATGGCAGTGCTTCACTTAACAATAACAGCAAGGAAGGTCGTAAAATTAGGCAAAACTCACTTAACTATCTTGCTTAGCAACATAAATTTTGGGCTCAATTGTGGCCGAAAGTCGAGAAGGGGCGTTGTCTTACCTGAACGCCTTTTCTCAGCATGAGGATGGAGACTGTATGTGTTTCACTTTGAGAGCGGGCAACTAAATTTCATTTTTGATGTGTGCCATTGTGCCCACAGTAAAAAAAATGGCAATAAAGGTTATCTTATATCTTATATCTGTTAAATGAATCACTATAGTTATTAAGTTAGTAACACGGTTGTTAAGTGAATCTGGTTTCCCCATTGATTATACTTGTAAGAAGTTCAGAAAAGTGATCACATGATCCCACTGCAACCGTCATAAATATGAATCAGTTGTCAAGCATCCAAATTTTGATCATGTGACCATGGGGATGCTGCAACAGTCATAAGTGTGAAAAACAGTCCTAGGTCACTTTTTTCAGTGCCATTGTAACTTTGCACTGTCACTAAACAAACTATTGTAAATCAAGGATGACTCTATTTTAAATTATTACACAAAGTTATATCATGATTTCTAAATCACCATAGTGAAGTTTACACAACACGCTAAGTAAAAATAAAACAACTATTATGCGTAACATAATATGCAAACTTTCCCTCAAGCTCTTTTTAATACCTCTGATGCAAAACATAGTGACAATTCATTGGTTTCAACTTCTATCCTGCTTACTTCACTGTTATAACCACCTTCCAGGAATATAAATATTTATGTTGGCTGAGAACATAAGGTCTTCCATCCTATACAACAGCCCACAAACAACATCTATGCAGAGTATAGGCTACCTAACTTAAATAAACTCAGTAGAATAATTAGAGGTTTACGTCCACAACTACATCTTCCACGTGATTGTTGTCTCTCTCCATGATGGAAGGCATAAGACACTATGCAGCAGCCTGATTATATACTTCATTTTCTTCCTGGGTACAAACTAATGATGCCCAACCTTTTTTCCAATAACTGCACTTGGTTATGCAATTGCAAATAAGTGGAAGAGATATGGATAAACCTCAATTTAACTTTGTGATGGAAGAAACATTAAACAAATATAGAATAATAATGCATAATTATTAAATCATATGAACTCACTGCATTACAATGTAGTCTACATGATTATTCTTCATGTATATAATCATTGTTCAGTCACTTTAAAAACTAAAATTCAGCAACAACTTTTATAGGTAGTGAAAGTCTCATCCAAAATTTTGGGGACGTCATTCTGAGGCCTCATTCTGCATTACTCATCATGGGGAAATGTTGGACAGACAAAATAAATGGCTACATTCACACACGAAAAGCGAACGATTGCATATAATGGTATGACACAAGGGGTATATTTGCATATCAAAGAAACACATGATTTATAGTTCTATTATATTAACTTAATTACATTTACATCCCACCATAAGCTGGCAATTCACAGCAGCTAACACCACATGAAAAACATGAAAACCACCACAGTAAGTTTAAAATAAGTAAAAGACAAAATACATAACATCAAACCAAATAAAAAACTATGAATGAGAATAAAAATAAAAAGATACACGGACTACAATGTTCTTCAAAACACCCCAGTCTTTAACATCCTCCTGAACAAAACTAAGGAGAGGCCCAGTCTCTTGGGAGGCTATTCCAAAGCAGCATATCTATCTTCACCTCCCCTTGCTTCTTAGAAATATGGAACTGTGGCAATTTTCTTCCTAGAATGATCTAACAGGTTGGGACAATTCAAAGTGGAGCAGGCCTATTTAGATGGCAAGCTAAAAGAAGCTTTAAAGGTCAAAAGCAACATGTTCCCTTTGCTTTATGTATTATACAATTTGTATAATTTGTGACAGCATAGTCAATTTGCACCATGATCTGGGAAATAGCAAATATTTTTATCCACCATAACAACTTGAACACTTTCCCACCAAAACTCTTCTGTCTCACTTATACTTCACTTTTCTTCCAACCAAATGAGGTGCACTATACTATCCAAGTCCAAATCATCCAGGAGTATGAGAAATATTATCTTAGACCTGTATCCAAGCTTAAACCCTGATTCAAAAGGGTTCAGATAACCCACTTTTTCAAGGATGTTGTATAACTGATCTGCCACCATTATCTCAACTACCTTCCCCCAAAAATTGAAGTAAGAGACTGATCAGATCCAGGGTTGGCCTGTTTAGAAGGGGGAACACTAGAGCTTCTTTCAAAACCATTAGCAGCTCCCCCTCCCATAAAAAGACAATGAGAATCTCCCAGATCCCAGATACATATCCCAAGTGCTTTTTTTCTTTAAAAAAAAAAAAAAAGGTGCCGGAACTCACACACGTTATACAACCTGCCTTGCCTACCCTACAAGGTTCCATCCAAAAAAGGTGCCGGAACTCCGTTCTGGGCGTTCTATGAGAAAAAAAGCCCTGCATATCCCTATTACAGATAGTCCTCGACTTACAACCACAATTGAGCCCAACATTTTAGTTGCTAAAGAAGACAGTTACATTTTGCCCCATTTTACAACCTTTCTTACCACAGTTAAGTGAATCACTGCAGTTGTTAAGTTAGTAACACAGTTACGTGACTCTACCTTCCTCATTGACTTTGCTTGTCAGAAGGTCGCAAAAGGTGACCCCAAGAAACTCCATCCGTCTTAAATACATGCCAGTTGCCAAGCATCCAAATTTTCATCATGTGACCATGGGGACGCTGTTAACAGTTGTGTGAAAGATGGTCATAGGTCACTTTTTTCATTGCCACTTTAACTTTGAACAGTCACCTAAATGAATGGTTTTAAGTTGAGGACTACTTGTACTGCAAAAGTCAGGACAGGCAGAGAGTCAAGTTACAAATTGCAAAGGATAACCTAGAGGCACCCTACCCACTTTCTCAGGATTCATAGGACAGGAGAAGTTCCACATAATATGGCAAGATTATCTACAGCAATTACCTAATCTAGCTATTCTCAACCTGTGGTCCGTGGACCTGTAAGGGGCCACAATGTTATCATGGGAATCCGCGAAGGCTTGAAGAAAAATTATGATTTAAATCTTGAGTTAAGTCTTGGTGGTCCGTGGCCGTGGTCACAAGAGGTATTTAAAGGGGGTGATGAAGAAAAGGTTGAGAACCACTTATCTAATCAGCACTATGTCCATGAGGATTCAACATCCTGGTGAAACGAAATGACTTTATCAGCAAAGTGCTGATCGATTTGGTCACAGCAGCCAGGCAGGAGATTCCAATGCTAACTCTTCTCCATTAGTCACCCTAAGCCAGTGGTTCTCAACCTGTGGGTCGGGACCCCATTTGGGG